TTTTTTTTTTACAGGCGGGATTACTGTATTCTGACTCACGATCGAAACATTTGCGACGCAGTAATTACAAAATATTTGACACATTTTCTCAAACTTACGATCATTGAACAAAACCTTGAACATGTATTAACTAATGATTGCGATCAAATTATTTAAACAAATTTAATTCTTCACAATGCATTTTCGGAATCCATTTAAATGAAAAGCTAAAGTACACAGTGTATTCCAATCTAATTCCAAAAATATCCCCATTACCATTTATGAACTCAATGCACCATTGTCTGTATTTCCAAAGTTATAATGAAAACAAGTTAGAATCGTAGAAACTATGTCATTTGTTTCCCTGGGAAATTCATTCCAATTAGAAAGAGAGCAAGAGAAAGCTTTCATACGAGTAATCTCTTTGCCAAAAGTATACTAAAAACTGTTATCTCGTGTCCTAGGTCTAAAATAGGAAAAACTTTTTTAAATACTTCCAACATTATATGCTCAACTCCTTAAAAAATACGTTGAATTGAAAGTGCACAAAAACTGATTTAGTTCAGACGAAACAGGAGGATTCTTGCGAATTAACCCAATCAAGCACAGCATCGAGAGATCTATGGAAGAACAGCAGTTGGCAAACATCGAAACTTAGACAATCGCGCACCCACTGCAACAAGAACTATAGGAACTCTCTCTGCCATTCCAACCCGATTTCCTTATGAAGATTGGCCCACTTATTCCTAGGGTTACTTTTGCTATTTGCTCGATGTAATAGAGGTCTACCTTTTATTATCTTTTTGATATAGAACTCTTATCACTTATTTACTAAACTGATAATTATGTATCTTCGACTCATATTGTATCTAAGAATAAAGAGTTAATCGAGTTACAGAGCCATTCGAGTTACAGAGCCATTCCAGTTACAGAGCCATTCCAGTTACAGAGCCATTCCAGTTACAGAGCCATTCGACGTACAGAAACAGTCGAGTTACAGACATCGAGTTACAGAAACAGTCGAGTTCAGAGAACAGTTCGAGTTACAGAAACAGTCGAGTTACAAGAAACATCGATTACAGAAACAGTCGAGTTACAAAACAGTCGATTACAGAACAGTCGAGTTACAGAAACAGTCGAGTTACAGAAACAGTCGAGTTACAGAAACAGTCGAGTTACAGAAACAGTCGAGTTACAGAAACAGTCGAGTTACAGAATAGTCGACTAACAGAAAACATTCTCGACTAACAGAAACATTCGAGTTACAGAACATTCGAGTTATAGAGACATTCGAGTTACAGAGACATTCGAGTTACGGAGTAATTGAAGTTCCTTATCAGAGGACCGTATCACATCTGCCACCGAATTCGAATACTGGTCGATGCTCCAAATCCCTCTCGCTCCGCGGTGCGCAGCGACATCTGCTGCGACTCGCTCGGCGGGTGGGCGGGGCGGGCGGGGCGGCGCTCAGCGAGGATTACGCAGCGTAAGCGCCGCGGCGCAGGGCGCGTGGCGTGATCCGCGGCACGGCAAGACACGACACGACACAACGACACGACACGCGGCGCCGCAAGTGACGTGCCGCCGATAAGCAGAAGGTCGTCGACCCGCCGCGCCGCCTCGCGGGGGTCGCGCACGACATCTAGCCAGTGGACTGCAGGGCCACGAGACGCTCTCGCTCGCATTCATTTTATTCCGTATTAAGGTGTTTTTCAACTACTGAGCTCATAACAGCGACTACTGTAAGAACATTGGGTACGATAATTGTATACGTATATACACAAAACATCCATGCCCGGCGGGATTCGACCTTGCGACGCTCAGGCACGAGAGCAGCTGCGGCAGCGACCTCTAAGCGTCTAAGCGACCTCGGCCATCCAGGACGGCTATTTGTGCTCGCAGCATTTAAGGAGAATTCTTCTGATATTATAAGTCACTTCTGACGTTCCATCAGCTCAGACGCGGTTTTCCCATCTGAAGTTTAACACCAAAGAAGCCTCTGATTGGATAATCGCGCCTAGCTGATGGAACATCAGGAGTCACTGTAATTAAAAGAGAGAATAGAGTTTTTGCAGAACGTAACCTGGCAGAACACTACTGGAGGGGAAGAGTCGCTCATTTTGAGAAATAGAAAGACACGCATGTGCGTTTGGTGTAATGCAAAAATAAAAAAAATAAAATAAATAAAAGAAAACTTCCACACACAATAAAATACCTCGATCTTATCACATAAATATGGTAATTCACAGATTCAGTGAAACATTTGTGAGTGAAGTCAAGGAGAGGAAATATCCTATATTAGTAACGACAAAACACATAACGTGTACGTTCTTTCAAATAAATGGCAGAATGTGTTAAAAATTGGATGTCACACACATAACCGACTCTACATGTCTCCCTACTCACAACCCACGACCGGGAACACGGGCTGAGTGTGCCTCCGGCAGCGCTTCTGTTGCTAGCAGCGCAGGGCGTGCAGTTGGCAGAGAGCTGGCGAAGGAGGCTCACCCGGCGCGGGTGCGGAGAAGAGAGCGGGGCGGGCGGGGCAGGGGCGGGGAGGCGGCTCCGGCGCCATACCTTCCGTGTTTTGCCGCTCCGCCGGCCGGCGCGCCTTCTCACCTGCCTGCTTCTTCACAGCTGAGCGCCGGGTTCACGCCCGGTCTAGGGCAGGGCTACGCGCCGCGCCGCCCCGCCCCGCCCCGCTCCGCGCCGACACGGCACGACCCGACACGACGCCTCTAATCGTGCAGCAGCCTAGTGCGCAGTTGCTCAGTGCCACAAAAATGCTCGAGACGCTGACTGCTTTTGAGAACTGTAGAACTCTTTGAAAAAAGTTGAGACTTCTTAGAAAATTTTGAATTTTCCGACTTTAGCCCACAGTCCTTTTTTTCTTTCTTCTTCTTCTTCTTCTTCTTCTTCTTCTTCTTCTTCTTCTTCTTCTTTTAAATTCAATGTTTTATTATAACTTAAGAAATTTTGCAGAACTTTTTTCGAAACTTTTAGAAAACTTAAGAAATCTTTGGCCGCTACTCAAAACGCTACGCTCACAATAGTAAGGATTTTCAAATTTCAACCCGTGAACTTCACACACCTTGACTGTGACGATGTTGGTAACAGGAAAGGAATGGAGACTGGCACATGGACGGCTTGAGGGTGGGATGGAACGGGTACCGGAAAGGGGACTGGAAGTAGGACGATGACGGTTGAGAGCAGACAAGAGTGGGGCGGGGTTGTTGGGGAGTCATGATGCGCTCAGCGGTAGCAACTAGCGGCGGTTGCGCGAAAAGATTGGCAGATTCTTGCGTTACATTTTTTCCCCTAAGCCAGTAGAACTGGTCCGCAAACTTGTTCGTTTCAATGCCGTTTTTCCTCAATATCGTCCCGTTTAGATCATACTTGATATACGTTATATATCATTTAAAATAATATTAAGCGATCATCGTGTACGTAATGATCGTGGTTGAGTATCGATGTGCTTTACTTACGACGCGTACAATGTGTCAAAGTAATGGTTGTATGCAGAGTAAAACTCACCCAATGGTGGCCTTCAAAAGCAACGTACTGCAGTCCGATTTACACATTAACTCACCTGCAACAAGAAAAAAGAAAAAAAACTAATTAAATTTCACATCAACATATAATTTACACCAGCAATAATATCTCGATATTATGTGCTAATACTAACTATATTGAACAAGAGACTACCCTGTCTTCAGGGTACAAAAGTGACATACAATTTTTATTTTTTTAATTTATTTATTTATTTATTTATTTATTTATTTATTTATTTACTTACTTATTTATTTATTTATTTATAGTTTAGTGAAGGAATGTAATTTTTACCATAAAGATTTCATAAAGTTAATTAGTACAGATTTCATAAACATAGTTCACAAGACAGCCGGTATATAAACACTTTGTCTTCGATGCAAGATCAACAAAACTATGGTTTTGAGACTTTCAATACGTGAATCAACACAGGTGGAAGTACGAACGTGTGAAATGTACTCAACGCACGACTCCGAATCGCAAGTGGTAATGGAGACCCCACGAGAAGTTAACTTCACGTTTCGTCTTGTTTGTTCCGCGTCGAACCAATCAAGAAACAGCGTGCCAAAAGGCGTGAGAACGATTTTTGCACTAAACAGGTAAAGGAACAGACATCCTCGGTGGCGTGTCATTGCACAGACCATGGTCCCAGTCAATGTACGTAGAAGCCACAAATTCCGTCAGGTACCAACGAAAAATGCTTGAAACAATTCGTAGTGCTCGTACATTAAAATGGAGAGAGGAAATCGATTTTACATAAAACAATAGGTGCATTACGAAAGGTTAAACGTCAACATCTATAAATAAAATTAATTGCATGACGGAAAACGCGCTTTTACGAAGCGAAAGAGCTTTTCGAGAAACAAAACTCAATCACGTCGATACAAATAATGGCTTGTCAGAATGTGGAATGACCAACCTTGTAGTAAACATTTATGTAGAAAAGTTCCATCAAGCCGCAACCACGAAAACAAATGGTAATCAGATATTAAAACAAACTCAACGTCTAATATCATTAAACACCCGATAAGAATCGTCAAAAGAAAAAAGAAGTATTATCACAAAAGGAAGAAGAAAAACAATTCCCGTATTCCCTCACAAAGGACAGCAAACAAACAGACCAATCAAAGATACTCGGCCCTTGAAGCTCGATGGGTTACTCCCTCCCGAGCAATTCCCGGTTCTTCCCGGCGGGACAGCGCAACGGGGCGAAGGGGAAATGAACATCGCCACGTGAGGGTCGACGAGTTTCTGAGTCACGACCCCGCCCCCCTTCGATCTAATGATGCGGCAGAGACAAGAAAACATCGACGTTGCAAAACATCGACCAAATCGCGATTTTTAAGTTTACATAAGATTATTCTTATAAAAAATATAAAGCAAATAATTGTTTAGAATTGTAAATAATGTCTTGTCATGTTAGGCTGTGTTTCATCAGACACTGCATTATTTGCAATGTACGTTAATGTATTCAGTTTTAATAATGCCTTTCAATTATCCGGAAGATGCCTATCTTCGTAGCCAAAAGGGGAGTGACGGGGTACAAAGCGACAGAAGTGAAGGGAAGTGAAGAGAAAAAGGTAAAAACATGAAAAGTTAACATAACCCTTTTCTGTTGTTCATTAAATAACGCTTTTGATTTTGAATTTCTTGTCCTTCTCACCTTTTTGTTGTAGCCAAACTTTGCAATTTTGGTTATTATAGCAACGGGGACGACAAAAGAACTCGCTTCTTCCCAATGATGTCGCGTGTTGATTTCAGATGTAAAAGCTCTGGGAAACGAGACTCAGTTCTTTTAAAATTAGAAAACGCAAATATGCTCTGAGGAAATTGCCGAATTGCTGCCGACTTTGGAAGCGCTCTCGTTCTGAAACGGTACGTCAGTTTTCTCACATTAGTCTCCAGAGGGAGAATGAGAAAAATAACGAGTTCGTATAAGGAGTGAAGAAGGAAAGCGCTGTTCGTGATACATCGTATTTTTAGAAAGAATACATTTAATAAAGAAGTTGACGCCTGTATTAGAACGTACGTAATAAGTTTGTTAAAATAAATGAACAGAAGGGACGACGAGTAAGATTCTTGTAATAACTATGTTAGTCTTAGACAATCAAAAGATCAATCAATATAGTTCTCACTAGGATTATTGTTAAATCATTTTTAAGAACCCGTTGTTTCATGTTAATCTCAGCAGTAGGTTACACGTCCCCGAAAAAGTAGTCCGGTTACCTTTCATTTACATTTCTTACTAGTACCACACCGAGCCGTTTTTCCTTACACCGCCTTAAACAGCACACGGTGGCCATCGTTTTGGAATTTTCGCAATAGCTATTTCATGAATATGCCTCGCATTCAATTTTTTATGAATCCCAAACTAGCAAACGTTACAAACCCACACAAGAACGAAACTGCAAAACATTCTCCTCACGAGTACGAGGAGGATTTCCTTGTGTACGGCCAATGATTGTGCAGCCCGGCGACATGGAAACATGAAGGAATGAACGAGGAAATCTACAAGCCGAATCAGAAGAAAAAAGAGAGGCACCATAAAGAATAAAAAAAACAAACGACAAAGGAACCTGAGACCCAACACTCACGACCACCCCGGGGCACCAAGGCGAGCGCAACACAGTAGCCGCGCACGCCGCCACCGCCGCGGCGTTTTCGACGCGCGTTTGCCGACTCGCTCCGCGGCGGCGGCGGCCGCAGCCGGTTCTGAGTCACGATTGCAATTCCTGCCGCGAGACGTGCTTGTTAGTAACTCGCTTTTAACGGTGGCTTGTCCTTGAAAGTCACCTTGCCGCACAACGCCGCCGCCGCCGCCGCTGCCGCCGCCGCCAGGCAAGGTGGGGCGGCGCGGCGGCGGCAGCAGCTGCCTGCCGTAGATGCCTTAGCGGCACGACGCCATGTCGGGAGAGTGGAGCCGTCACAGACGCTTCGCTGCTGATGCTGCTCCTGGGGCGTATTCACGAGATCCGATTAAGAGAAGGCTTTCAACCGCTGCAAATGTACTCTCCTTAGTACCGATTGTGCCACTGCCTTGTTGGATAGATATGAAGCAATGAGGTAGCAGGATGTATTGTTTCATTCATTTCATTAACGTCAAAATCAATTAAAAACTGTGTGTGACGTATTATGGGGTGAAGAGTATTCCAAGCACGTTTTCTTAAATTCTAGAATCCCTACCCTAATGTATATAAAAAGTGTTGGCAATTCCTTTTTTAATCGAAACATCCCACACTACAGACTATAGGTTGTGTGCTTTGAGCAGTAGAAACTTAACAATACTTAGATAGTAACGCCAAGGACATTTATTAATGAAAGTTCACAAAATGGCAAATTGTGAGTTCAAACGACGTAAATAAATCTTCTTGAAGTAGTTACAGATATTAATTTTTTTTTTTTGCTGAAAGTTATTTGCGCCTTTCATCCAATAATAATTTATGTAAAATACACATTTCATGTATTCTCGGAACAAATTCAATTTTAGCAATTCCAATAGCAACTTGAGGAAACTTCTAGGACCTGTCATTTCTTGCATATAAAAAAAGCTTGGAAATTTCAGGCACGTTCTTGGAAAAAAATTATTCTCTACGACACGCAGCAAGGGAAATAGTAAGTGAAATTGCAGCATTTTATCATCCCGTCGGAGAATTTATTTTAAGCACGAACATAAAGAATTAATTTAAAGAAGAGGAAATGTTCATTTTTTCTCCTTATATCAAGCCTGTTCTACGGGTAGTCAGAAAATGAGCTGGTAAAAGCACGCGGTGATCAAATGCATAAAATATACGTGTGCGTAGGCAAGTTACTAATTCGAGAAACTACCTAGACAGTGACACATTAGGCCTCCGAGTTGCGACTTACAACTGTGAAGCAAGAACTCAAATCTTTTCAATACCGTTCTGTAACTTTTTTTGTCTGTTGAGAAAACAATTTCTTATTCTACTGCAAGTTCGTAGGATAATTGACTGAACATACTTGCTAGGATAATTGACACGTTCTCTGACGTTTCACACACAGTTCTCATAGCGCCAACAAAAGTTTGTGAAGATTGATAAGATAATACAACCGCATTACTGTTCCACAACAATATAAAGACGATATAAAATGTCTGTCCTCAACTGCAAAAATTCAACAGCTTAAAACTTAAACATTTAAAAGCGTTCTCCAGCAAAATGATATTTTTTTACACGTCACTTTCCTTGCGCACCGACAATGCGTGTGTTCGTAAAAGGGAGGTGCTAGAATCAGGAAAACAACTTTATAAGATTAATTAATGAGTTGGGAATTATAACCTAGAGACTTCTAGAGATCTCTTGTCTGACTCAACGTTAAAGGAACCCCCACTGAATATTTGCACGACAATGCGACAGCAGCGCAGCGCACTTAACATGGGTCCACGGAGAGCAACGCAATCCCTCCGAACTCATCCTTGTCCTTTCCGTATCTCCGCGCACACAAACACATCACACGTGCGGGAAACCACTCCTGAAGCTTCGGCTGGGGCGTGCGAGGCGGTGCTCCGTCCCGTTGTCTCGTGGGCGGGTAATAGATAAGCGCTCACGGGCAAGTGGCCGTCTCGTATAGGAAGTCTTCGCTTCTAGCAACTTCGTACATTTGAGAGCGTAAGCTTCCGCGGCCGGAGTCAGTATTTACTTGGCTGTCCGGGTGACAGCGCGTCCATGGCGAAGGTGCCGACGTGTCGGTCGCCATCCTGCGACCTTCCTCAGGGCGTAATGCCATGTCGTCGGCACCTTTGCCTTTGTCGCGGCGTCACCCGGACAGCCGAGTAAATACATTCGTACATTTGGCAGTTGTGTTGTTACACACGAGAGGTAGGAGGGGAAGAAGCAAGAGGTCGAAAGGAGTAGGAGGGGGAAGAGAGGAGGGAGGAGCGTGGGGCGAGGAGGAGCAGCTGGAGGAGGAAAACAAAAAGGAGGACGGGAAAAGAACGAAGAAAAATGGGAGGGAAGGTAAATGAGGAGGTAGGAAAGAACCAGGAAATACGTCAGGAGAGAAGGAATATGAGGTGGGAAAGAAGAATAATGATGAAGAGAAAAGGAAAATGAGGAGGGAGAGAAGGAACATAATAAGAACGAGAAGGAGGAGGAGAATGGAAGAAGGAGGAAAGGAGAAGGGAGAAGAGGAAAACGTGGATTAGAAAGACAAAGAAGGAGAAGAATTAAAAGAACGCGAATCTTTAAAACGACGCCTTTTCATTGACCGTGGCATACACCACCTGGAACTACCAACGCCCGCCGCCAGCCATCCCTTCGCGGGCCGCCCGAGCGCCGTTGTAAATTCACCGCGCCGTGCCGTCGGCACGTCGAGTGTCGGGCGCAGGCGAAAGGGCGACACGCGGCCAGGGCTCCCCTTTTGGCGCGATCGTTCCTACGCGGCGGCGACACGCCATTATCATATAAATCGAGAGACGCGCGCGCGCCGCCGAGCCACGTGGGCGAAGCCCGCCATCGGTTTGCGGAGGGCGGACGCCGCGCCGCCTGGCGTCGCAGCGCTGACGACTCGGGGATTCCCACAGTTCACTCCCACTGTGCACTCGGTCCAGTCGAGTGACCGGATGAGGGGGGCTCAGGACTTCGGCGCTTGCCTCCGCAGCATCTCTGACCGAGTGGTCCTAAGTTTCGCGTTCCCACATTGGCGGATTTTCGACACTAGCTAGTAGATACTAGCTGTGACGTAGATGGCTCGGTGGAATTCAGCTGCTCTTCAGAGGAGAACTCTAGTAGAAAATTGTTCTCATCGATTGTTTACCGGAACGTCTCTTCTCTAGGCGAATGTCGCAGCGGTATCGTAAAATTCGGGACAAGAACCGCTCAAGAACTTTCCTTCCTCACCCTTGTCCCCTCATCTTCCCTTTCACACACACGTGCACTACACTACTACATATGTAAGGAGACCAGTAGGGAGATTGGTGCTTGTCCCGGAACACCGCATCCTCCCGGGATATGACACGCACTGCTCTTCCGGAAATGGCATTGGCACTTGCCCGCAAAAACAAAATAATTCATAAATCACTTATTTTCTCTGTTAAGAGGTGAATTAAATTTGACAGTCAACATCCCGATCTAAACTGGAAGCATGATCTGCGAGTACGTAACAAGTACTGATTCCCACTCATTATGAAATTCTCAAATATTTTAATCGTCTTATAATATAATTTAAGCGAGAGTATCTGACAAATTAATTCACTGGTGAAAATTATTTCAAACCTCTAACTGCCCACTCTGAACTGACACTTCCGAGTCATTATCATTTGACTGAAGAATACATTTCGCGAGTGTTGCGACCTAAGCGACAGGTATTGAACTATCCACTAAAATAGTTTTTGAGCTTATTAAAAACAATCCTCCACCGGCTTTTGTCTGTATTAGCTCACGTCCTCCTGAATTACCTTTGCATACCACCGTCAAGGAACGTCTATTCCATAGGCGTACGCAGCCTAAAACGAGAGAGGGTGGCCGAGTACATCTAGGCCGCTCTGGACCCCTTTTTTCGTTAAACTTTATATACATATCACAAATAGGATAATGAAATTACAGTTATAATGATGTAATTTACACAACTGATTTTATTTTGTTCGAAGCATTTACAAAGTTGACAGATGTTTTGGATTTCTTCCCCAACTGTCGTGTATCCTTTCCCCAAATTGCCCGCTAGCAAACGATCTTTAGGGACTTCTTTTACGTACAGCTAAGGGGCCCCTTTCGAAAATTTCTACAGATCACTCTAACACAGAATTTGAGGTATTCAGAGCGGGACAGCGGTGTTTTTTCCCGGACATTGCGCGTCTGCCTTGCATGACATCCTGTCCTTGCTTCACGTTTTACATGCCCAACATTATCGAAGTTGTTTATTGATTTGTTCATTCATCATTGCACATCTTACATTGTTCAAACCAAAATTTGTCTGTTGCAAGACCTGTTTGGAAAATAAAAATTTTACATTTAGCAATTTCATTTTCTTTGTAGGATTGAAATCCAACAAAAAAAAATTCCACAAACTTTAATACAGAGACAATAATCCCAAATAAAAATAATAATTTTCTATACCGCTTCCCTATATTGCCTTTTATCACAGCCCATCTAAGAGTTGGTTTACGGTTGGTTTACGATCACATAATACTTACTAGTTACTTTAATACACAAAAAAATCATAACATATGAATACCAACTGCATGTACTTGACAATGTACATGAAAACAAGGTTCAAAATAAATCGCGCGAAAAGACTCGATTGTAGTAAGTAACTGTCGCCGCCAGAGCGCACCACTAGTATCTACAACGACGACACTGTTCAGCTCAGTGTACCTAATGTGCACATTTCATTTTGGAACATTAACTTCACCTATTCCTTAATTTCGAGAATCTCAATCAGAACTCGTTTCTTTACTGACTACCATAACGTCTACTCTGTACAGCTGTGAGAAACGTGAAGAAAATGGCAGGCAAAAGAAAAAGGTTAGGGAAGGAGGGGAAAACGGGAAGGATAAAAAAACGAACGGAACCACAGTAGGGAATAAACGCAGTAAATGGATACAAAAGAAATGGGCAAAGTTAAAGGAAAACATTTGGCATTCATTCTTTCTCATAAGTCAGTAATTTAACAACATACCATTACCTCTCTTTACTCTGCGTCTGGCATCTCCTGCAAGCGCAGTTACAGCAGGCTGGTGCATCAACGATTACTGCGATGCGAAATGACACAGGTATTCGTGGCGAGGCGTGTCTAAATTTTACGCTAGGAAACAACACACAAACGCTTTCTCAGAGGTCAAAGCACCGGCTGTTCGAAGAACGGTGGCGGCGGCGGCGGCATTAACGGACGCGAAAAAAAATAAATGTCGCGTTCGAGGAATCTGCGTTCGCACTAATCGCAGGAGAAATGCGACGACATGGTTATAAAGCAGCGTTCGCCTCCGCGCCAAGCAGCTGAATGGGAGATCTCGTGACGCTGTCACTTGTCCATCTGCCGCGCAGACATACGAGACGGCTCGTAATACATTACTCATGGGCTTCGCGATGTTTGGATCCGCATATGCTTGCAAGCTGTTTAACATCCAAGACGTTACAACTTTCGACAAATTTCTTATAGAGAAGCTCCATACAAGGAGCTAACGATTATCTGTAGAAGTACGTATGGAAGTGAAGTAAAATTAATGCACCAACTCAGCTGACATACGTCTCATCCGTATGACTATTAAACTGTCTGTAACAGAAGAATTATGTCTGCAGTAAACCAAAATAATCACACATTTAAAAAAGGACACTAACTAGTAGTAAATGTCGCATATTTTATATTTCTTATATTAAGATTATCGAACAGTATTCTTTGGTCAAGGATTTCAACGCATTCAAATAAAGCGTTTCCTGTCCGATATGTTGAAAAAAAAATTCCCTCTCTGCATTCTCCTGCGACCAGGTTCTCGATTTTTTGCTATAAAACTCAAAATGTTCACAGTATCCTTATTTTTCTCCATTAAGAGATTAATTACAATTTTAATCAGGACCTTTCGGACACACGATCCACTATTGAAAACTAATCTTCTCGACAGCGAAATACTGTCTCAAGATTTTCAAAAAATGAGAGATAAGTGGTGAGGCGGCGAGGAGCGGTTTTGTGTGAGACTCTGTGAAAGAAAAAGCCCTAAAAAACACTGGATGAGGTATTGAAGTCTACGAGAAAAGCCACTTTTAGGAACACAAAGTGAACCCCTGATTCTCTTCCTGCTTCAGACTTACAATGTCTAAGGAGAAATGTCAACAAGAAAAAAGTCTAAAACTAAAAAATATCAGCCAGTAAAATACTCGAAGTTCGAAATGTCCCTACGAAAATGACCAATTCCACTAAAATAGTAAATGCTGCAATAACAGAAATTAATTTACTTTTTAAATCTCGTTCTTGTTCGTATTTTTATCGCTTACTGCTTCATGTTTTTGTGTCTTTTCTCAACGCCTCCAATATCACTTGCACACCTCATTGTATAAAAGAAAATGTAGTAGGGCATGGAACCGCTATTTAATGCAAATTATGTCTTCTGTGTGATTATTAATGTGTGTAAATTATTAATACTAGTCTATAATTTAAAACTTCACTGTGCTTCCAAAAATTCACTACAAAATTTCTAGCATTTCCCTTAACGATTACACTTTAATAACTACGATTAAAAGTAGTTTATATTCTCTTTCCCTTTAGAACATGTGGAATACCTTCCTATAAACGTTTTTTTTTCTTTGGACCCTTTCTTGTCGACAAGTTTCCTAGTTCATTTTAACCAGGAAGACATTTCCTCAATGAATGTAAAATAAAAGTTGAAACACCGATCGAGGTGGATCACTAACGTAGAAGATCTTCCACAATTTGTTATAGGGCCTCAATAGAATAACAAAGGATAAAATAAGGTTTCCGAATTCGCAAACGCAATGAAGTGCAAATTGTCGATGTAGTTTAGGAAACATTACACAACAGCACGTACGCTACTACAAGCGCACCCAGCACGTGCTTTAGTGCGGATGTTTGAACCGTAGTGCAAGTACGCGAAAATAGCACACAGCGTGCAGTCCCGAATCAACTGAGCAGCCTCCGTTCCCCTCTGGAGCTGTCGCGCGAGCGTTGTCACGGCGCCAGCGTCGACGGGCGATCGCACGCGGATGCAGGGAACGAGCCTCCCCCCTCCCCTCCGCCGCCGCCGGCCGCAAATCCGCCTCCGGGGGCAGTTATGCGCGCCGTGCCGCGAGCGCCGAGCAGAGCGGAGCGGAGAGGAGAGGAGCGGCGACCGCTCAAGGTTATTGGGACACGAACGCACTAAACCGCGCGGCGCGGCTGGGGCATGGCACGGGACAGTCGGGCACGGTGACGGAGCGAGGAAAGGGGGGGGTGTGTGCTGAGGTGATGGTCACATGGACGCTGAGGGCGACGGTGAATATGAAGGTGACAGCGGCGATGACGGTGAGGGGGAGGGGGGTGACAAAGATGGGGCAGAGGTGGAGACGGAATAGGATGGGGACGGAGATGGATACGAAACAGATGTGCAGGCGGTGAAGGGACGAAAACTGCGACAGCGATGGCGTTGGCAATGCCAACCAGCGTTGCCTTCCGCCGCCGGAGTCAGTATTTACTTGGCAGTCCGGGAGACGCGCCGCAGCGTCCTCGCCACATGTGCCAACGTTTCGGCCGCCATTCTGCGACCTCTCTCAAGGCGAAATGCATTTCGCCCTGAGGAAGGCCGCGGAATGACGGCTGAAACGTGTGCGCCTAGGACGCGGCGTCTCCCGGACAGCCCCCGAGACATCGCCAACCAGCGCGAACTCGGCGCGCGGAGGCGGCGAGTGTGGCTGTGGAGGTCGCGGCGTTATCGGCGCGCGTGGGTGGATCCCGAGTGGCGCGGGCTTTTACGACGCAGCGCCCATTCGCTCCGGGCGCCGGCAGAAGCGCGCGCTCGCACTGGGGATGCGTCGTCCATGGCGGTGTTCAAATCATAATAATAATAATAATAATAATAATAATAATAATAACACCAATAATAATAACAATAAGAATAACAATAACAATAGATATGATAATAATAATAACAATTATATTAACAACAAATTCCGTGGTGGTAGCAGATATCTTGTGGTAATCCATAATATGGTAAAGGAAATAATCGTCCACAAAATGTTTAATAACTTTTATTAATTATTGCCCAGAGTTAACTTTCGGGAAACACTTTTCCCCATCCTCAGTGGAGTTTCTCCTCCTTGCTAGAGACCCACCAGAAAGGAATATGTGTAAGTGACTTTTTTATTAATTCTGAGAAATTGTTTAATTAAGTCAATATCACTATAAAGTCGAGGTGTATTGTTTCGTCATTCAAACCATGAGATATTACGGCAGGCGTGCATGGAGCCCCGGAAAGCATTATATAACAGAATCAAAATAATAACTAGAGCCACAAAACTATGGTGCACGAGTCATCGAGAAAAAAATTCAAGTACAAAGATGAACAATTCTGAAATTTCTAAAATTTCACGGAAGAATTCAGATCTTATCCCATCAATACACTTCCATCAAATGATTACGTACGATTACGTTCCATTCAGGGCGTTTCATTCATTTCGAAGGCAAGTGATACATCACCATTACATACGCATCCTTACTGTGTCATCGTAACTGCCAATACCCTGTGACAGTCACAAAATTATGACCTACATACCCAAGAATTTATTGGTGCTTACAATTTCTCGGAAAGCTGTAAATTGAACCAGTCTACCCGGGAAGCTAGTAATTATTTTTTAAAGACTACGATCAATATGAACCGATGTGCCACACCTCGTCGAAAGCGCGACCAATAGATTTATTGCGGCAAACGTGCGCCGTTGGCTGGCAGGCTTCCGCAACTCGGCGGCGCAACGACACGGCCGAAGGACACGCGCGCTCGCAACGAAAGCAAACGGCGGCGGAAGGGCAGTTATACAAGAGAGACCGAGCGAACGAGCAGTGTCGTGCCGCGAAGTTAGGAAGATGATGGCAAAGAGGACTGGAAAGTCAGATTGACGGTGAACGACGGGATGTCCGGATCGGCGCTTGTCGTCTGTTAAGGAGGAATGTCGTGAAGGTAAGAATGTCGTGAAAGGGGCAAGGGGGATGTCGTGAAGGAGGGATGTCGTGAAGAGGGATGTCCGTGAAGGAGGGATGTGAAGGAACGGGATGTCGGAGGAGGGGATGTCGGGAAGGAGGATGTCGGAAGTAGGGATGTCGGGAAGGAGATGTCGGGAAAGGAGGGATGTGGGGAGGTTGGGATGCGGGGAAGGGACGGATGTCGGAAGAGGGATGTGGGAAGGATGAGAATGTCGGGAAGGAGGGATGTCCGGGTTAGAGGAGGGATGTCGGGAAGAGAGCGGGACGTCCAGGAAGCGAGCGAGGTGTAGGAACTGGAGAAA